GACTTGACCACATCATAATGTTAAGTGAATTACTACAAATAATAATTTTTTAAAAACTGAGTTTCCTGACCCAGACAATGGCCTCCAATGACTCCCACCTCGGTTTATTCGTACCCTGTGCACTCCCTCCCACACTGTACCAGGCCACGTCTTCTGTCTTGAATTCTCCTCTGCTCTGCCTCGTACCTCAGATCTTTCACTCTGGAGAAAGCCAGCAGCCATGTCATGAGCAGCCCTGGGAAAGCCCACATGACAAGAAAGTTCCCCACTAATAGCCAGTGAGGAACTGAGGTTTGCCTGTTAGCCTTGGAAATGAACTTGGAATTAGGTTCTCCAGGCTTGCTGAGCCATGACATGATCGTAATTCAGCTGACACCCAGATGACAAGGTCTCTGAGACTCTGAGCCAGAAGTACCCAGCCAAGCCAGTGCTGGATTCCTGACCTTCAGAAACTGTGTAAAATAACAAAAGTCACTTTTTAAAGTGCTAAGTGCTGGGGTAATTTGTTATGCAGTAATACGATGAACAAACACGACATAAAATCAGTATATGTTTTTTAAAATTTTTTAGTTGACATATATTAGTTTCAGGTGTGCAATACAGTGATTAGACATTTATGTAAATTATGAAGTGATCATCCCCAAATCAATGTATCTTTTAACAAACTTAAATTACAAACACTTTTTAAAAATATCTAAATAGTGATTCTTTTCTAAACTGTAAAATACATCATTAGCTTGAAAATACTACTACTGGTGTTCTCTAAAAGACATGATTCAATGGTTTATAGAATATTGAACTGTTAAACTATATGTCACCAATTCTATTTTAACCAGAGTTCTTGGTGACCAGACATAGTTAAAAGGAATATTTGGTTGCAGATAGTAATTGCCCAGGGCTACACGTTCCCATTTCAATATAACTCCATTTCTTTCTTTGGTTTGAGACCTCAGTAAATACAAATATCTGAATTTAAATCTAACAATCACTTTCTTCTTAATCCTGAGTCGCCATAGTAGGATGCAGAATAAGAAACAACTGCCAACAGGGTAATGATGATGAAGACATGTAAAATAATCCATTTTCTAATTAAATAAAGCCTCCATGTAAGGAGAAACAATAGTTGAAACAGCCCTGACTCCTCTTGGAAGTTTCATCTTCTCTTTATAGTCTCAACCCAATTATTTATTCAGCATTTTATCAAAAAATACTTATTGAACCTCTGCATACACTAAACATAGGGATGCAGTGGTACACTGGATGGACACGGCTCTACCCCCATGTACTTTTATCTGGGAGAAGAAAAAAATTAAGCAATTACAAGGTTGTGGTGATTATTAGGGAAGGAGAGGGAAGCACCCAGCATGGTAACTATCCCAGTGTATGGGTGGGGAGAGACATGGGGAATAAGGACAGGGGAGGGGGTGTGGGAAAAGCTTTTTGTTAAGGTGTCGCTTGAAGCAAAAAGAACCCCCATGTACAAATGTCTGAAGGCAAAGGAGTTCAAGACGCAGAAACCTGTAAGTCCAGCTTGGCTGCAGCGGAGAGAAAAGAGTGGCGAGAGATCCAGGGAGGGTTCCACACCTTTGGGCTGCGACCCAGGAAGGGGCACAATTCCTTTCAGTGGGGCTCCAACAGAACAGGTGAAGGAAAGAATGAAAAACTAAAAAAAAATCTTTAGGCCCTGACCTTTTGCATCCTGAGTACATGTATTTATATTCCCGGCCCAGAAAGCTAATACAGTTTGGCAAGGAGTATTATTTGTAGTGGCAAGAACTCTGAGGTTAGAAAAGCCTGCTTTGAATTCCAGCTTGAAAAAAAGGAATACACAGGTCATGTAAAGATTAAATAACAAATATAAAGCATCTTTCATGCCCTAGGCACTTAAGTCTCTTCTCTCCCATTATCTTGCTCCTGAACCCACAGTTGGCCTCATAGCTGAAGGCACCTTGACACCAACCACTACATGTGACCCCATAACCTGGCAGAAGACAACACTCTCTTGGCCATCTCCTATGTCCCTCCAGTTCAGGTCTAGTCTCTCCCCTCTTCCTATATGAACCCTGGTCTAGAGAACCAGAAGCATTCCGGCATCATAATCCCTGTCATAGGATAACTGTGGCATTCATAAAGAAAAAAGAAATTATATCACATGCAAATGAGACTCGCTCATTACATTTTCTGTACTTTATATTGGCATGTGTATTATATTTGACCTCCATTATTCCTTTTGACAGTATTGGGGTATTGCAATCACTATGTGATAGATAACTGTCATAGCTTCTTGGAGGTTATGTGACTGACCCTGACCTGGGTTTTGAATGTAGCTCATTTTCTAAACAAAGTTGTGTCAACTCTACAGAGGCTGCCTCCTAGCAAAACACTGCAACAGGCATAATTTTGTTATACTTTTGGTTTCTTTTAAACATTGTTAGGACTCAGAAAAGCATAGGGTTGTACAACTATATAACCATCCCTCAGCATCTAACCTTGTGTCCTATCACACATTTTAAAACTTTTCTGTGTAAAACTAAGTGGGGTGGCGGAATCTTCCCAAAATGCTATTTATTCTCTGCCCAAGAACAATTCCAATCACTGTTGTGATAAGTACCACTTTGACCTTTCATACCTGCCCAACCACACTCACGATTGGAAAAATAAAGCTTCCTATTTTCTACCAGTGAAAATTTGTCTTCTCTGTGAAAATGAAGGCACAAAATGTTAATTACTTCTAGCGGACTTCGTCTACAGATTTCAAATGCAATTATTCCCTCATATTATCAGAATACTATCTCTTGAAGGTCTCCTGTTTCAAGCCCAGTCTGTTCAAGGTACTTTTTCAGAGTCCTCCTTATTCCTGCCTTCTAATGTTATCTATATAATCTTTCCCCAAGTAACCCTTCCATACAGTGTTTCTCCAAAGGTGGTGTCCACATTACCTGGATCCAATCACCAGAGTGCTCATTAACAGATGATTCTTGGGTGCTGACATGGACATGAGTCATCCATCATCCAGGAGTGGGGCATGAGTTTTTAATATTATCCAGCACTTTATCAGTAAAACATTCCAGACGTTTTCCAGAAAAAAAAAAGGTTATCAAAGTCTCCCTTATCTCATACTTAAAAGTAACTGTTTTTTAACTAGTGGTTGATATAAATGCTGAGTCAGACCACGATTTGTGTTGGATCACTGACCTCCCCCCCCAGGTGCTCTCTATATGCTGGGCTTTCATGAAATACTATGTACAGTTATTCAGCCAACCAAGGTTATATCTAATTATGTCACCCATTCTACATTTCCCCATGTTGTTCATGACAATATCGCCTCAAGTATTTTGTGGAAATTTTTAAATTATGGCATTTACAGAATTCTCCAATATGCAAGGTAGTGTAACCCAAACAAAGAAGCTGGTGAGGTTCGTTTGGTACTATTCTTTATTCATCTTGATGATTCAAGAGCAAAGAAGAAAAAAAAGAGAGAAGAAACTCATGGTCATGAACAACAGTGAAGTGATGGGGGAGGTGGAGGAGGGTCTGGGGAGAATAAATGGTGGATGGAGATTGGAGTGGTGAACACACAATACAGTGTACAGATGATGGGTTGTGGAATTTTGTACCTGAAACCTGTGTAATTTTGTTAACCAGTGCCACCCCAGTAAATTCAACAAAAAGGGAAAAAATATCTATTTCATTGAAAGAAGTTAAATTATTTACTTGTTTTAAAGTACTTGCAAATATGAGATGTTAGAAAAAAGGATCAACTTTCACCATCCTGAAGCTTAAGATATTAAACATTCTGTTTAACTTAAATTAGGCAGTTTAGGTTATATCACACTAACAACGTAATTACATACACTTGGCCATACAGTAAAGACATCTGTATTGGGAGATTCGGGAACGAGTTATTTCTTTGGGGTGCGGCATTTGGCTAAGCATTTGTCAATATCCTTTCCTTTGTAACTGATGTCTCAGGCAGAGAAAGGGTTTGAAAAACAGGAATCAAGGAACCTCCATCAAGTGGCAAAAGCAGGTCCTCAGAACAGAAACTTACAAGCCCATTAACAAGGTTGATATTGCTTATTGCCAAAATATTGGCTTTCTTGTCATCAGCTCAAGAGAAAGAGCATTCCAAGTGAGCTCCTCCTTTTCAGTGATATTTGCACATCCCACTCGGGCCTTTTGGTTACAAATTCACCTCCTTAAAGAGCCGTGTGAAAAAGCAAGAACAATCAATAAGGAAAAAAAAATCCTTCCAGCTATAAATCAGCCACGTGGAGCTGCTGCAGCAGCAGCAGCGGTAGCCCCGACTTCCTGGTTTGCTTCCTGCAAGCGGAGCGGCGGGAGGCTGGGGGAGAGGGTGTAGGAGAGAGAGGGGCAGTCCTAGCAGCTCCCGGACCGCGGGAGGGGGGCGGCAGGCTGGGGGATCCTGCAGGACGCGGGCGTTAAGGACAGAGTTATGGCCCAGAATTACAATAAAAGTTTGGCAATCTGGAAGCTTTAAGAGCTGAGCTGTGGGCAAAGGCTAAAGCTGAGGACCAGACCTGGAGAAAGTATTAAGTTAGTTACAAGGTAACGGAGGCTTGCGAAGCAGATACGTGTGCACAGTGAGAGAGAGAAGAAGGGGACTGCGGATCTGCACCAGGGCAGGTAGACAGAAGGAAGATTAGAAGAGCGAGACGCACGGGTCGGTTGGATCTCTGCGGAGGCCGCCGGAGGAGGGGGAGTAAAGCGGCTGCGGAGCGCGGTCCGAGGCGCGGGGCCGCAGGGAAGGGGGGGACGGAAGGGCCCGGGGGAAGGTAGAGCTGAGGGGAGTTCCGGATCGAGAGCTGGAAAGGGCAGGCAGCGGAGAGGGCGGCAGCCTGAGCGGCAGGGGTGGGGGAAGGAGGAGGAGAGCCGGAGGAGGGGGAAGGAGGGAGGGGAGAGCTGTGGCGGCGGCTGCGCCCGGCTGTGTGTCTCTAACCGCCGGAGGAAGATGAGGCTGAAGATTGGATTCATCTTACGCAGTTTGCTGGTGGTGGGGAGCTTCCTGGGGCTAGTGGTCCTCTGGTCTTCCCTGTCCCCGAGGCTGGACGACCCGAGCCCGCAGAGCAGGATGAGGGTGAGTAACCCGCCCGCCCCCTCCGGCGGCGGCGACCAGCAACTTGTTTTGTTTGCGCGCGCGAGTGGCGGGAGCCGGGAGCGGCGGCGGGGTCGGGCGCGGCGTTGGCGCTGCAGCTCCGCAGGTGGTGCTGGCGCAGCGCGGGCGGACCGGGGGCGCCGAGCCCCACGCACTCCGTCCCGGCTGCCCGCCGCGGGCCCGCCCCCTCGCCGCCCCTTCCTCCCGCGCTTCCCCGCCCCGGGCTCCGCCGCTGCTCCCGGCGCTGCGGATGCCGCTCGGGCTGCTGGCTCCACGCCGGGACTGCTGGGCGGAGCGGGAAGAGAGCGGGGTCCCTGGGGGCGGGCGGGGGGCGCGGCCGCCCAGCCCGGGTCTCCACCCGGCTGGGACCGCTGCAGTCACGGCCGGGGGACGCGGGGTTGGTCCAGGCTGCGGCCTGTGGCACGGGCAGGCCTAAAGGAGACGAGATGTGTCGCCGCTGCCATCACTACAGGTCCGGACCAGGCCCCTGGGTCCAGCCTTTCCTTCTGCCGCCGCCCGTCCGAGGTTGCCCGCAGCCCGGGGTTTCCCCCAGCCTGCGGCCCGCTGGGCAGTGGGAGGGAGATGGTGCCCCGCCTCCGACTCCTACGGTCGGCGCCGCCTCCCCCTCCACTCCGGTGGCCGGTAGACGGGGTGCGGCGTTCGGCCGAGGCCTCGCCCTGGACTAGCCCTTCCTTTCGTTTCCCGGCGGCGGGAGGGCGGTTGATGCGTTGGGGACGGGGAGGGGGGCGGGCAGAAGGGCGTCCCCGGCTGGCTCTCCGGTCCAGTCCCCACCCCTCCTGGGGATGCCCTAGTTCAGCGAGCTACGTCCTGTCCCGGGGATGTGAGCCGGTTCTTCTTCCCGGGCTGCAGCGGGGCTGCTCGGCCCGAAAACTAACTTGTGCCGGCGCCGGCTGCCTGCTCTCTCTGCCCGACGCTGAGGGGCGCCGAGCTCCCCGCGGCTCCGCTGGGACGCATTTGTCTGTTGCACGAGGAGCGAGTGTTAGCCTCGACACTCTGGCTTTCAAGGGTTTAGCCAGGCTTCTCGGAATCGGAACATTGGTTAACCCGGAGCCGCCCCGACAAGGGGTCGCGGGTACTGTGGCTTCGTGGTGACTGTGCTGGGTCACAGCAGGTTGGCCGCGTGCCGCCTGTCCCAGTAGCCTGACCTGCACCTCCTTAAATGTACTGCACACCCCTCCCTCCTAATTCGGGACCAAGGGGTCGTCCCCTGGGCCCGCTGCCCTTGGGGGTGAGGGAGGGCGTGAGAAGTGCAGGGCCACCGAGTGGCCAGGGGCCATTGGAAGAGTTGTGCTCAGTTGTGAAGTGCCTTTCTCAGATATTTTCTGCACTGCATCTGAGTGATCTTGATTAACTTTCCTTCTGGAAAGTTAGCTTTAGGGAGTTGAGTGAGAAGACTTCCTTTCTTGAATGGGAATCCCAGGAAGAAATTTCCTTATCAGTTCCTGCCAGTATGATCGTTGGATTTAGTCTTACATTTTAGTATTAAAGTCTTTACAGCAGTGGAATATTTTTTAATATCTGGGGGGTGGATTCCCATTGAAGTCATCTAGGTTCAAGTTAATTAAAAAGTACCAACGTTTGCTTTTCGACATGTTTGTGGTTTTAAGCCTCTCAGCTCTCATGGAGTGGTGGTGACCTTTTTATGATTTTACTTTAAAAATGATTTATTGACCAAGAAATATTGAATATTACAATTAGTTGAGAGTTTGTTTTGTGTGGGAAAATGGCTTTTTACAAATGTTCAAACCCCATTTTCTGAGAGAGAAATTGAGAAGAACTGTCAAAACTATGTTCAGATGGCAAGTCTTCTAAAGCAGTGGTGGAGCATCAGCACCAATACCCAACTCTTGAATACATTTTATTTGTGCTGATATGTAAGTACTGAGCCATAGTGCCTATTTAATAACTGTAGGGAGGTGGTGATAGCTTGATTTTTGGTCCAAATTACACTCATCTGCATAATGGCATTGCAGTCAACCACCGACCCCAGGTAGGACAGTGATCCTGCAAAATTATAATGGAGCCCGTCACCTAGTGACGTGGCAGCCATGGTAACCTCACAGCACACCACATTACTCCTGTGATTTTGGTCCCAGAGTAAACAAACCTGCACTGCTGGTCAGATGAAAGTATAGCACATAAAATTCTATACAGTACATAATACTTGATAATAAACAGCTGTACTACTGGTTTCTGTACTACTGTACTACACTGTTTATCATTATTTTACAGTGTACTATTTTGACTTATTTAAAAAATGTGCCCTAAAACATTAGGTGGTGTTATGCTGGCAGCAGCAGGATCCATCTCCTGTTTACCACGTCTCTTGATCACATCATTTTCTCTTGGGCTTGATTTAATCTCCTGTTGTTTTGTACAGTAACATGCTGAGCGGGCCTGTAGGCTAGGGGCAACAGGTTATCCCATACAGCCGAGGTGTGCGATAGGCTGTACCACCTAGTTTGTGTGAGTGCACTCTGTGATATTTGCACAGTGATGAAATCTAATATGGAAACATTTCTCAGAAGTTATCCTCATTCATCATTAAGCAGTTCAAGGCTCTACTTCATAAACTTGGTCAGTGGATCCAATGTAATTTCATTTGCCAAAGACAAGCTAGCTGTAAGACTTTTAAACATAATTAATATTGAAAAGGATGCTTACAGATCAGAAGAGCCAAACCCTTTTATCAACTTCGCAGGCAGCAGTAACTAAGGTATAGAATATAGATTGTAAGTCATAAGAGCTTAAATAAAAGAACTATTGCCTCCCATTAATGAAAACTAAACTAAGAGTTCCTGAGATAAAAGAGTAGAAAAGTATCTTCTTTCTGGAACATTCTGACCAGTACTGAGATTCTGACTCCCCAGTTTCCCTTACCCCTCCGGTTCTTTTCCTTTGATTATGATTGCAGGTCCTCCACCCTCTGTGAGACACCTGCCTCTCCTTTAATGCTGATCCACATACGGACTTTTTTTGGATTCCTATAAATGGCCTGAGATGGGATAGAAAATCCAGTTTATCAAATACAGGTTCTGCCTCTCTTCTGGCAAACGTATACTCATGGTTCCACCCTGTGCCACTTTTATTGTGCTTTCATTGTTCTCAACACTAAAGTCTGTTGCAGCCTGGTCCTTTTTTTACCTGGATTACTTCCTTGCAGTAGATTGGTCCAGTCACTATTGCAAAATGCATTATTCATGGTCAAGACAAGAAAAACATGTTTCATTTCTTCCTTCTATCTCTGGGCCTCTTTCTGTTTCACTGAGATGAATGGTGCACAAAATGATTTTACTCTTCAGGTTGTACTCTGCTGTGTACAATTTTTATAGTCACCAGACATTTTTGAGTGCCTACTGTGTATCAGTGCTAGTTGTTGAAGAAACCTCTTTGCCCCTAACCTTAAGGATCTAGCAGTCTAGTCGGGGTGGGGGGTGGCAGGGAGACACTAATCAAGACCTTACAAATCAGTAAAAACTGGGCTGCATGCTGTGAAGAAAAACCATGGCAGGGGAGAGTGCTAAGAAAATGGAGGAGCTTGGTCATTAAAGGTCACTAAAGAGTGAGTTTTGGGTTGTGAGAAGGTCCCGAGGTGGAGATAGCATGGTGAACGGAGGCCCTGGAAGATCAACATACTTAGAATGTGGAAAGTGAGAGGGGAGGTTGAGTGAGGACGCAAAGCTAAGTGCGGGTCTTGTACACCATCCTCAGGATGAGGTCTCTGAGCAGTGGAGAAGCCATTAAAGGATTTTTAAGGAGCAGAGAGACGTGATGAGCTTTGTGTCTTGAAATGATTGCTCTGGCTGCCTAGAGAAAGTATGAATCGGTTTGGAGCAAGAACAGATAGTAGGAGTCCTGCTGGATGTTGTAATAATAGTTCAGGCGGGACGGGATGTTGCTTGGATTGGCAGGGTGACAGTGGAAGTGAGAAAAGTAAATTGATTCGAGAGTTTAAAGATGCAAAGTCAACAGGTCTAGGTGATTGAATGTGGGAGTGAAGGAGAAGAAAGTCTCAGGAGGCTTAGGATGATAGATTGCCTGTTATATTACTGAAAGCTCTGAAGACAAATTTCACACATTCTTATGTCATATTTTATGGTTATGAGAAAGTTTATTTTTTAAGGCTCCGTCCTCTGGATATTTTAAGGTCAGCATTTATTAAGAACATCTGCTTAGCACTTGCAAAGTACAAAAAGTTTCTTTCATTAACTACATTATAGTATCTCCCAGACCATGTATCCCAGATTTATCCATAAGTGAGCGTTCAAAGTTACATCACAAGCCTCTGAAAATAAAGGTTTGCGATGGAAATGTTGAAAGATCTTTAGTGGTTCTGTTCCTGCAGATTCAGTTCTGGTGTGAAGCCGCATGCAAGCGGATGATTCTGCATTGTCGCTACTGTAGTCGAACCATTGCAGCCCTTAGGTCCAGAGCATACATGGTAGGACTGACTCCGGAATCATTCCTAAGCAGAGGAGTTTTACGTGACAGGCAAGCTAAGATGGGTCGAAAGGAGCATCACTTACTTAAACAAGGGTGTGTATGATTACCCTGCCACAGTCAAGTTCCACCCTATTAAAGCCATTTTAATTCAGTAATGATTGGTTGCAACCTGAAAAACTCTGCCCTTGACCATGAGATTTTATTTCAAATGGAAGTGCCATTTATACTATTATGGATGGAGCTATCACTTAGCAAAAGAATATAGTGTCTGAAGTCTGAAGTGGTCACTTTTGCCTCAGTTCTCCAGGCAAAATGGCTGGGATTGGTTCTTGTTCTATTTTGCTGTCCTCCCTTAACCCCATAATAAAACAAACAAATAAAAAAAAACCCAAACAAACCAAAAAAAGCCACCAAACAAACAAAAAACTCCCCCTTACCAAGTATAATAAATTCAAGATTTGTAGCCCCCTGAAGTTAATGCAGACTTTTTT